GAGCAGCTCTGCACCTTCCAAGCACACTACTAAGAGAGACAGTTTTACAAAGTCCATTAAACTGTTACTGGATCTTGATTTAATCTCCAAGCTGTGCTTTTGGTCTGCAACAACAGATTCAAAGGCCATTTTTGCTCTGGTAAATGAAGCTTACCCATCCTGGGACCCATGCCAGAGGTATGAGGCAGAAGTATTAGAAAACAGACCTAACGTTTTAGGAGTCAGGCCAGAGCCAACTGAAGCACCTCAGCAATTTCAGTGAGCTCTGAAGTGGCCTTCGGATGAGGGAAAATTTGTGCTTTCCCCAAAAAATTGTCATAACTGCTCGCAAGGCCTCTAAATCTAATTGTTCTCTGGGGACAAGTCCCTCTAGGACTATGGTAAGAAAAGTCTCCATAGGAGGAATCCCCATTTATTAATTATGAAATTAAATATCTGTTCCATTAAAGGCCAATTTCTGCTATATGTGTGGCTCCAAGAACTCTGCTGAACATAGAGTTACATGTATAATCAAGATTCCATTTTTAAAAATAATTAAAAATACAGAAAGTCTCATTAATAAATGACCTTTCATTTTTGTCCATCCATGCAAATAACACACATAATAACCTAAAACCAATTATTGGGTCAGATTAGAGAGCCTCCTAGCCCAATATCTTGTCTCTGACACAGCTTGGTGGCAATTAAAAATGGGGTGCATGTGAGTGGTATTTTAAATATAACCTCCTACTTTCCAGACGACTGCTGGGTTTTTTTTTTGGCAATCGCTGTGTCTCTATTGGTAATTAAAATTTAGTTCTCATATGCTATTCATAGTGTAATTCCGATATTTTAATAATAGGAGTAAGTTAGCAGAAAATTGTAATGTATCAAATGAATCGTTGATTTATATAGCAAGTACTGTTTTCTCTCAACTTACTTCTAAAGTGTGACCAGAGCATCATTCATTTAGTTTAGGAAAATATTGAAAGCAGAACTTAATATCTGTACAGGAAAATGTGTTGTGTCTTCCATGAGAATTTCTTCAGTGGAAACTGGTACCAAGGACAGCTGAATTGCACCCAATCTCTGGGCATCACTATGCTATTTTATCTAAAATAGATGTTTTTGTTAAAGGCTAGAAAGTCAAACTATCCAGAGAATGATATTCAGAATTTGATATGCTGGCAGAAAAGATAAGAAGAAAAGCATTATTATTGTTAACCAATTATGGTTTAACGCATACCATGTTCAGATGTATCTTCCATTTCATAAAAATTAAGAGCTGTGCGAAAAGCTAGGTGTATGATAATACATTATAATACATTATATAATACATTATTAGCTTCATACGATTTCTATCCAGTACTGCATTACTTTACTACATGGTATGATGGCTTATTAATGCCAACACGTTCACCTTGCCGAGGTGGAGAAGATTTATGGCTCTTTGGCTTAAACAGAAACAGTTCTTGTTTATCAGCTACTGTTGTTTAGGGTTCATCTCTCGTAGATGAACTGTCACTGGAGCGTTGCTATAAATGGGGACCCACACAGAGGACTTTAACTCTCTTATTTCACTCTTTCTTCTTAGCTAATGAAGAAAAACAACAACGAAAACAAGGCAGATGATTGTTTTTCTTATCATTAAAAACCAACCATTAATAGATCTGCTTCTGCTCAACTCGAGAACTAAGTGGCACTAAATGGAAAAGGAGGAGATTGGTCTCCAGCTGCTTCACAGTGAATAATTGTTTTCCTGACCTTCTGCCACGGGATGCTATGCATGCTTAGTTAAACCAATTAAAAAGGAAGAGTGCACAAATTCATGGAAAAGAAATCAAAATTTATTTCAAAATCCAGAATGTAAATGCAGACCGTAGACCCTTAAGATGAAAACCTGATAGACCTTTGGCGATCTCTGTAATGAGTCTTGGGTATGCAATCATTCTGAAGTCCGTTTTAGGTTGGTGAAAAGAAACACATATTTTTGTTCAAACTGCATAAAGGAGTCGATAATTAGTTTTAAAATGCTACAGTTTAAAAAATGAAAAGGAATAAAAATCCTATGGTTTCACCCCCATCATGTGGAGCTAACCTTGTGGTCCATCAAGGCCTGTGCATAGAAATGCTCTCTGTCACGGAGACGACGTGTTACAAATTTGTTCGAATTTGTTCTCATGCTAAACCACCACAGCTTTCTGAGAAGTACCAACTGTTCCAGCGTTATCTGTGTGCAAATACAAGGTCATCGGGAAGTTCTGTTTGACAGCAGAGCTTGGCTAAAGTGTCACTTTGTGTGGCCTTTCAGTGAGAAGAATAAACAAATACAGCGATGTCAGGCTGGCTTATCAGCCCACGATAGGGAGGACAAGATAAGAAGAAATGCTAAAGAAGACTTTCCCTTAGAAACTTGGAGCCACAAAGCTGGCACAAGGTCACCTCCTTGTCCTGGCTCTGAATCCACACTGGTCTCAGCTTGGCTAGCTTTGAGAACCAAGACACCATGTAACAGGAGTTGTATAAAGTGTAAGAAAAAACTTTGCGTATTGAAAAAGGATGTATTTTTTTACTGGGGATTTGAAATCTGCTCATTTGGGGATTATTCTGTGGCTGAAATACAGGGAGGAAGGAGAAAATGATGTAATGAAGCACCAGGAGTAGAAATGATCTGGTATGTTCCAGAAACAGATGTTTTTGATTTGCTTGAAGTAAGACCCTCACAAAATCATATGCTGAACACATGTAGCAAATTATTTTGCTGCTCATTTAATTCTGTTGAAAGCTCTCTCCGTGCTCAGCAAGGCTCATTGAACTTTAATGGGATTTCCCGCAGAGTGAGATGTTACACAACACGTGTCAGCATCTGACCCAAAGCGAAGAATTGCATAGAGAAGTGTTACTGGACCTGAGAGGAATGTCAGCTAGTTCAACATGCAAGTTCCTGGCTCTCCAGCCAAGGACAATGATGCTGCATAAATCTATGAGGAGGAAGCTGTGGGCCATGTTCTGCTCAACTTTGTTCAGCAGTTGTGCAAACTATGGGGAGGGATGCTCATTTTCTGGGCCTTTTTGAAGAGAGTGGAGCATGCATGTTTGAAGCTGTGATTTCCTAGAGCCTGAAGGAGTTACTCCTGAGTTATTAGACTGAGGATTCAGCAAAAACCTTCTTATGTGATCAAGATGGACCTAGATCACCCAATGGACTAAGCTTTGTGACAAGACAAAGCCAAGAAAATGGAATGATGGTTTCCCCAAAATTAAATTACCATTAAGAAGAAATAAAGAAAGAAAGAAAGAAAAAAAAAGGCAGAAAAAAGAAAATAAGCTCTTGGAAGCTTTCAGCTTTGCTGAATATTTCCTGCTACCATCAGTTGGGCACAAGGGGATAGGACATAACATAAAAGAGGGCCAAATGTCTCAGTAATCTGTGCATCCTGACTTTGCTATGCAGTTTTAATAAATTCTGCCCTATAATTAGAGTGATCCATCTAGGAGATGTTGGCTACTTAACTGTTTTACTATAAAATTTTAAAGCGGAGAGGAAACATTTAAATGGTTTTTAAGCACAGTCACTAGAGATTACTACTACTTCTGACAGGAGGTTGTTCCCATCAAATTTAATTGAAAATATGTTTTACCAATCTGTTTGGATCGTACGCTGCTCTCTTGGGATACCAAAAAAACCTTTAACATGAATTACTATTATACTAAGCATGCAACAGTATTTCCTTCAGTAAAATTAAAAACTTGGGAGTCCAACATTTATAAGTTAACCTTGAAACTTCAAGTTTAATTTTACAACTTCAGATCAAAACATTGGAGAATACAAATGTCTACCTAAGGTCATACAAAAAAACTTCAAGTGACTTTTGCAGGCACCTTTGTGGTGAATAGATCAACACAACAGCATTTCCTGCTAAATCAGCTATCTGAAAACATTCCCGTTTGTCTGACCTTAGATATTTTTTTAGCAGCAGTAGCTTATGTGGCACAATCAAATTTAAGATGGAAGTTAAATATGGGTAGAATTACAACCCCAAACACAAGCAGTAAATGACAAACGTAACTTTTTTATATAAAATTTAATGATCATGAAGGCAGCCAGAACTTAGGGAAAACAGTGTTTTGCATTCAGTTTTTAGTTTTGAAAGATGAAGTTGTATTGAAGTGCAAATTCTGCATCCCGTGGAGAGATTGTAGTTAGCCTTGTAGTAACAATACTAAAACATAACTTTTCTCTTCTTAGCACAAAATAATTTACTATGAACTATGCCTAATGTTTTTACAATAAAAAGTATTTTAAGATGTCAAAGAAACAATACGAAAACTGAAAAATGGTTTTTAAAACAATGAAAAATACACAGAGACATGGCTGATGTTATCTCATGGCATCTTAGCTCCACTGTAGTGTGTAGTCCTCGCCTAATGCAAGCTGAAGATCGGTGATTTCCAGGACCTTTGGAAATAAGGCAAACAAACAAGCAGTGAGCACTCTGCTTCCTGACACACTGCTTTTGTGCACTGACTAGCAAATATACTGGATTCTCAGATTAAAAGAATATGTTCCTGTAGAATGGTACCTCTATGAAGTTAAGTTTCACACATTTTGGATTACAGATCATTGTGCTGTGATACCCTCCCTTGAATTCAGAGAACCTTTTAGAACAGAGGTTCCTTTTATGAAATATATAAATAAATAGATAAAATGTGAAAGATATTTTAATGCATTTGGAAAACTGAGTTTTGTAGAAAGGGAGGTGATGCCACCAACGAGCAAGAAACAAAACTTCATGGCCAGGGAAGGTTTGGGTTCTTCCATGCTTAGAATCATAGAATCATTATTGTAGGAAAAGACCTTCAAGATCAAGTGCAACCGTAAACTTGTTTCTACACCGAAATGCACCCACAGTCCCTTGATTGTGACGTCCCTTGAGCACCCCCTTTGCTATGTCCTTTCCATCGTGACACACTTTCTCCTGGGAAAAGGAGTGGGATGGGATGCCCAGCGCTCTGCTCACCTGTCTCGTGCCATCGTAGTTGACATTGTGCTCGGAGAGGATGGCGTCCCCCTTCTGCAATACCGTCACCAGCTGCACTGCTGTGCTCAGCCCCAGCACCTTGATGTCCTCAAACACCAGGTTATTGGGGTCGGCGTAACCCCGGTGCACCACGCTGATCTCCAAACCATTCTGAAGGGACAAGGAGACGAGCAAAGCATGAGGCCATCAGACAGCAGAGCAAGCTTCTTTCAGCCACTCATTCTACTTTTTTTTTTTTTAATCTATTTGCTATTTATTTGACAAAAATTGAAAGCTTCCCTTCCCATTGGTCATCTAGCTTTGCCATGTCTTTGCTTGATGCTCGGGCAATGCATGGTCCCCATTGCCTCTTGAGGAACACACATATATGCACATATACATGTTCACCAAGAAGCAACACCCTCGTGGGGACAGTGTCATGCCAGGTGCCCCGAGAGGCTGTTTGCTGGTTCACATCCCATGGGAGTTTCCATGGAAATGTGAACAATAGAATTACACATATTTAATGCACTAGTAGTGAGGGTATTTATTTTAGTATGCCTATTTTTCATTATTGGTTGGACCTCTTTAATTAGGCTTTTCCTTACCAGTTTTCTGTAAGAACAGAAAAATGTGTAGTTATTTTATAATCCTCTTGTAACTGCTAAAAGGGAATATTAGCAAAACGAGCTTCTCTTCCTCAGCAATTAGCATCCAATTATTTGACAAAGACAAAATTAGAAAAGAGAGGAGATAACACATTGTGGCACCCTGGAAAACTAAAGAAACAAAGTGCATTTTCTATTACAATATAAAAAGTGCCTCTTTAAATTTGATAGTCAATATAATTGCAGTCTAATTTAATTCTGAATATTCAGCTGGTCCTATTAAAAACTGACATCTCAGAAATGCCAATACTTGCAATAAAACCTGCTTTTCATTGGCTCAGGTGCCTACCCAAGTATTTTTGTGCAATGTTTGGAAGATGACTAACTACTCTTTACTAAAGCTTCTGCATTTTCAAAAGAATAATTCCAACATCTTCCTCGCTCAGCCAGGGCTGCCTCTGCCTCCATCTGCCTGTGCACTCCACAGATGCAAGGGCCACTTGCTCATTTTTCTTTGGAAATTTAAGAGCTTTCCTGGATCTAGCTGTAGGTGCAGGCCCAGTATATTTATTTTTAATATATTAATCTCTTTGTAATCTGCAGCAGTTAGCTTTGTGACATATATATGCGTTTAACTGCATAGCTTTAAAATATGCATGAGCTGATGATCTAAATGTATTTGTTTAAACAGATGCACTAAGTTATCTGCAAAAGTGACACTGAATATACAGTTGGCAAAACAATGCAATTAGTCTTACATTTATCTGATTTGTGAAAAATCATTTGTGAAATAAACTTTTATTTTTCAGGATTATATCAGAAGTACTACCATAAACATATACCATGTTTAATATGCTAAAATAGATCTTTTAGGAACCATTTTCAAATGGTTCTTAATGCAGTCATATTTGTTATACTGTATTCAGTCATGAATACAAAACACTCCTCATTTTCTTCATATATACCAGAAAAAAATGCAAATGCAGATGTCTAAGATTCTCATCACACAGTCTGTGTACCAGCACCTGCCTTGGAGGTATCGGTCTGGGCCAACCACTTCATGTGAACGTGCACAGCTATGGAAGAGCCCTGCTGAAGTTAATGAAGTTGCCCTGGTAGATATGAGTATGAATAATGCAAACAGTTTGTTCCTCTAGTATGTGCTCATATATGTGATTGCAATCCCAAAGAAATTTTCAAATCAAGTTATAAACCCACTACAGTCTTCACATGCCTGCATAAGCACTAGCCTAGCACCAAGAGTTAATGTTATGGTGGGATTGCTAAGCATTAAAAGAATCCAAAGTTAAAATACCTGCAGTTAAAAAGGGAACAATAATCACACAACATGATTTTGCCAAACCTGTTGACGTTGTGTACCTGATCAGCAGTAAATGTCGTTAGCAGGTATGCCCCATCTTCGTAGGCATCTGTTAAAAAAGAAGAAAAAAGTAAAATGCATTTGCTATTCATCTCAGTTAATATGTTTTTAAAATTTCAATCCAAGTATCATGCCTATACTATATACATGCATGCAGTAGAGCAACATGCAAATAGAGCATGGCTTGGTGTTTGCCCGAGATCTGCTTTTGAACCCAAGTTTCTTGACAGTCAGGGTGCCAGAGCACTGGAACAGGCTGCCCAAAGAGGATGTGGAGTCTCCTTCTCTGGAGATCTTCAAACCCGCTTGGACGCAGTCCTGTGCCATGTGCTTTGGGTGACCCTGCGTGTGCAGGGGGTTGGACTAGATGATCTCTAGAAGTCCCTTCCAACCTTAAGCATTCTATGATTCTATGATTCTGTGATTTGTCTTTCATTAGCTACTGTAATTTGTCTCAGCACTCTAGTTACCAGCTCCTATTCTTATTTTCTTTGTTTTAACCTGAAGGTTTTAAAATCAGCCTGTTTCTTTTGAGGGTCCATGGGAATGTGCCACCACCTATAGGGTGGCAGCAGGGCTTGGGGAACCCTCCCAAGAACAGTAGTTGAATCCAGAAGAGACGGAGTGAGGCTCTTTGGGGAAAAAAAGAAAAATCCTAATCCCTGAGATCAGAAAGACCCCTGGAAGATGCCTGGTCACCTCGAGCAGGATGCCCTGGACCATGTCCTGCCTTTGGATAGCTCCAAGAATGGAGACTCCATGAGCAATGTGGGCAACCTGGAGAGAAACACCCATGATACTCACCGATGCGAACCCCGTCATCCCAGTAGAGCTGCCCTTGGGCAAGCTGGCTGTCATTCAAAGCAACAGTAAGTCCCATTGGGTTTTGTCGGCTATTAAAAAAATAATAATTTTTCCTTGATTTCCTTAGGCAATTGCATCTTATCTTGCTCAAATATTATAATTTATTTTACAAATAGTGATTGCAACTCAGTTTCTCTCTGAAAATGGCCTTCTCCAGCCTATAATATTAAATTTTAAACTGTCCATAAGAAGGAAATATAATGTATTATCATACACCTAGCTTTTCACACAGCTCAATTTTTATGAAATGGAAGATACAACTGAACATGGTATGCACTAAACCATAAAATTACAGTTTTCACATTTTGAATCTAGGAATCAAAAACAATGCTGTAACACATAGTTAACAGGCAGTTTATTCTTCATGCCAGGCACTAAAGATCTACCTTTAAAAAAATAAATACAAATTTTCAATGAATCTTATCCTACCTGTAAAAAGTTGTATTAGCAGGGCTTTGCCTGGCAAGAATGTAACCTCCTCGGATGTGAAGGTTGATGTGTTCCAAAGGAGCTGATAATGTTGTGAATTCGCCTCTGACTGTAGAAAGTTCATCCTAATTATGAAAAATCAAAACAAAAAACAGCCTTCTGTTGAATCGTTCTTGTTTTACAGTTTTAGAAAGATGTGCTCATCAACTTTGAAATATATTACCTATTTTTTTGCAAGGTTAATTAATTCTTTTATAGAAATTTGTTATTGCATTTTTTTTTTAAATGCAGGAGTAACTGCATAATACTATTAAAGACAAAAATACAGAATTCTGCCTCTGTAAAAGAATGACCTGACCCAAGCTGACTGACACTGATACTAGTAAACAAGTTAAATGACTTTTGATGCCAGCAATTCCTCCTTCCAAGTCTTGTCCTCCGCCTCTTTGCAACAAGAAAAACGTGGGCTCTCGCCCAGCACATCCCGTGTCACCAAAGAATGTGAAGGAGAACATATAAAATATATATATATATATGCTGAAGAATGATGTAATGCATACTTCTTTATGTGACTTACCGTGTGGTAGTCATACCAGCGGGCATCGGGAAGGTAAGCATCCACTGTTACAGCATTCTGGAATTACACATAGACACTTTAGGCATAAAAAATCAAAGCGCAAAGCAAAAGTGACTTCTAATGTTTACATCTAATATTTCATACGCACTCAAGTATTTAAAGACTTACTGGCTGCAACACAGGGCTGATGAGCAGTGCCGGTCCCCAGAGAAACTGTTCATATATTTCCCATGTTGTTCTGTCTTCCACAAACCTGCAAGGTAACCAGCCCATGCTGGGCATTAACCTTCTCCAAGCTACTCTATTTAGGGGTTTTTGGCAGGAATGGAATCTACTATTTCCTTGTTTTTATTTCTGCTACTTCTGCAACGTTTGCTTTTTGATTCTGCACATTTCCAGCACCTTCTTGTGCTTTGCTGTTGCATCCTCCAAAGAGGCTAAAGAGCAGTTTTAAAATGTATATATTCACCCTAGATAACACAAAGCTCAGCTTTGCGTAGTATGAAATGGAAAAATCATACTATGAAAATGTGACTTGATAATGAAAGCTCATGTTCTCAATCTCATGCAAATTGGCGTAAAGATGGAAAACTTTATAAAGGTAATTTTTATAAGTTTCCTAGTTATGGAAACTTAATGAAGATTTAGTGGAAATTCATGAATCACACTTACTCATGGAGCACGGGTCGGATCACAGTGCTTCCGTGGACATGGGCTTCATGCATTAGCGTGTAGAAATAGGGCAACAGAGTGTATCTGATATTCAACACGTCCCTGGAAATGTCCTCAAACGTTGAGTTCCAGGACACAGGGTCTTGCCTCTGGAAAAGAAGGCACTGCTGTTATTCAAACTGGATTATTTTCTCTTGAAGAGCTAGAGAACAGCAACAACAAAAAATAAGTCAAAGAATTTGGTAATGGTTGTGATAAAAAATGCTAAACTAAGTTTATGTTTTGCTGATAGTTGCAGGAATGGTCAAATGTGCCTCAAAATCATCATCCTCAGAACACCGCTGGAGAAATCTACATGGGCTCTTGCAAACTCCATTTCTTCCAAGATCCCTTTTATTTATTTCTCAATTAACTAAGCGACAGTGCAAAGAGTAGGTGTCACCAGCAGCGCTAAGCAGGGGAGCTGGAAAGGAAGAAGGTGAGAAAAACCTAGGGGGAGTACTGCAAAAAAATGTTTAATGCAAACTACGGAAGGGGTGACACATTTGGGTGTACATAATTTATTATCCTTCTTTTCTGCAGGGCAGCACTCAGGACTTGCAAGCAGAGAGCAAAGCGCTAATGACTGATGTCAGGGAGCACTTCCAGTCTTTATTAAATGTATTGAACAATACCTTGGCAAATTGGGTAAGACTGGAAGCAACCTGATAACCCTGAATCTGCATTTTTAAAGGCTTTAAAAGTCCTATCGAAAGGTGTGCTGCTGCAAGATAAAGCGCACTGTTTTTTAAAAGGAGACTTTAATCCATTAGATATATGTCATATAAATAGCTCTACTCCGCTAGACCCAAAGCTCTAACTGGAGTGTAAGTGCTGTTTCAATTTTTTTTTTTTTTTTTTAGCTTTTCTAGTTATCTTGTTTTACAGCTTTCTATAATATAGTCCTTAGCTAGCATAGCCCTACATTTAGGTAATTATTTCCCTTTTCTCTTAAAAGAAATACAGTATCTGATGGTGGCAAATGTGCAAAGCACAGGAATTTCAGGTGCTCCCTGGAGAGCCTCATTACCCCAGGCCACGCGCTGCTTCAACACGTAATTAGGGGCACTTTTAGCCCACGATTAGGGCAGCGAGCCCCAAGGTCAGCAGAGCTCCTTGCAGGGCACATTGCCACCAAAGGGGCTGTTTTCCCTGTTTTTTTTTTCCCCCCAATAAAAGGTTACTGAGGGGAAACACATTGGATCTGGCACCAAGGGAGGCCGATGCAGAGGATGCTTGAAGGGGTGCAAGCGCCGTGGAGGCCCCGCTCACCCGCGTGCCTTTCTGGTTGTGGTTCCTGGAGTAGGGGTAGAAGGCGCCCAGCTGCATCCAGCGGACACACATCTCGTACTCAGCATCATTGAAGAAGCCACAGATATCTGCTCCGGTCTGAAAGGCACAAAAAATAATCATGCAGGAGAGCTGTAAATTCTTGTACACCACAAAAGTAAGTAAATATAAGGCATAAACTCAGGAGCTTACGTAAGAGATGCCAAAGAGACTGAACTCCATCATACCTGCAAGGAAAAAATAATTTAGTATTAACAAATCTCTCTATTTTTTTTCCCTTTGGTGTGCTTAACGCTTGTATAGATTATATGAGAATGAGGAAAATGTTCCAGTTTCCCCAGCGCATCTCTTGTGCACTTTGCACATTTTTGCAGTTCCCTCCTACGCACCGATGATGGACTTGGTGAGCTGGTCCCAGGCGGCCGTGTTGTCCCCGAGCCAGTGTCCTGCCCAGTGGCCGCTGCTGGGGTAGGTCGAGCGGGTGATGACGATGCCCCGCTCCTTGGTGACGCTCTGCACGGCCCTGGTGGCGAGAACCCACAAAGAAACCAATGGCAGGGGCACGAGAACAGCTTAAAGCATCATTACATGAGGTTTTCTGCACAAGCGAACCCACTGGGTATAGGAAGAGAAGTGACAGGAAAAGTGACCTTGGGAAGAGAAGGGACAAAACAGGAGATGCCAAAATAGAGGTTTCCTGTTAAGACAAATTATAGGGTGGGAAAAGAGGAATCTAGAATAATCTACATTATTATTATTATTTTAAAGGTAATGTGATGCGGTCCAGGCCATGCCTGAAAACTTGCAGCAATGGTTGGAAATAGTCTGAACAAAACTCAGACCAAGAAGATAGCTAAGGGGGAAATAGAGACATCAAAGATGTGAGAGCTGTCAGCATAGGTGTAGCTGCCAAAAAGTTACTGGAACAAAAAAATAAGCCAGAGATTTCTAATTACTTTCTCAAGCAAAGCCTCAGCCATTGCCACAAATTACCTAAAAAAGACAAAATTAAAAAAAAGAAAGAAAAAGCAGAGGCAGGAGGAACTGCTGCTTCCTTGCTCAGCTAAGTGCTCTGAGCCCTTCTCACAGGCATCCGTCGCTGCTCCACGCTCTGCGACCGGAGCGGATGCTTTCCCGGGCTGATCCTACAACTCCTGTGCACACACACTGGGAATCATTGTAGAGATGCACCAGACTGAAATACTAGTTAAAAAGCTACACTGATTAAATTGCACCGCTCTCTAACGATATCTCCACAATAATTGCTTTAACAGCTGCTCCAATACGGCACTATTTATTTATTTTTTCTATAGGATTTGCAGCTTAAGTGACACTATAATTACAGCAAAAATACACAAGTCGCTTAAATTACCATAGTAATTAAACTAGACTAATGTACTGTAATTAGTTCTTCCAAGATAAACAGTAAGTTTTCTAGTATCTTTTATTTCTTTGTCATATATTATCGAGCATTTTCTGCCGCTGCCTGGTTTACCCTGCCAAAACAACACTTTGGAAATTGCAGCTAACATTTGAAGTGTAAAGAAGTCCTGCATCCCAAAGACGCCTTTTCCCGCAAAAATATTGTACTGATTCTTAAAGATTTCTGGATTTCAGGTCTATGCAAAAGCCTCATGGACAAAGAATGACTTTAAGGCAATACTGGGATGCTGATGGAGAATTGAGGTGATGTGAAGCTCTGCAGAGCACGGTCGTGCACATGTAGGAGCAGGTCAGCGTGCAATGGGTCTTCCCACTTCATCCACTCCCTCATCGGCTCAAGTCACCTCGGGATTTTCTTTCCTTATGCTAATATCAAAGTTACCAAGGGCTTTCAGGGCATTAAGATCTATAAGAAACACTGCGCCTTGCGTACGCATTGAATTGGAAATGAAGCAACATAGATACATTATCCTTAGATCGGGCATTATCTGAAATGGACTGCTCTGCTGCTCTTGGTGAGGATCATGTAATGAAGTTTGCACTGGAACTGCAAAAATAAATTCTTAAAGGGAAAGCCATGAGGCTTGTGGGCATGAGCACTCAGTTTGCATTTAAAAAGTCTCTTCTGCCTTTTCAGCACTACTCAATTTAATCTAATGACAGTAATTTAAGAATGTCTGCATTGTATCCTATACTTAAAACTAAATCCGTTTTCCTGTGCTTGATATGAGGCTAAAACAATATCGCTGCTGTAAATAAAGCAGGTTATGATAGCAATACCTAGAAACACAAAGTGTTTTATATTTTAATTACAGTAATTACTTGAGACTGTCATTAAGTAATTTTCCTAACACCAATCAAAGCATTCGGGACTACATAACAGAGTGGTTTCTGCTGATGGACTGATGCTGTTTACCAGGAAAAGCACTGCCCCGGACAGCCTCACTTGTGCTGTTGTAGTAGAAACCTCTGCTGAAAATCAACACGTTGTGTCTGAATGTGTAGGGACAAGAAAACTGCCAATAACAGGTAATTACATCTAAATTAAACTGCTTTCAAAATAGTACCAGGACCACCTCATTTCATAAATGAAGTCGGTGATGAAGCTGGCACAACGTGGAAGCTACAGGGATGACAGCTCAACCTCCAATGCCCGCTGGACTCAAGAACTAGAAGCACTAGGGTAAGAACACAGATTTATCAGGCAACTCGAATGAAGTGATGAAATATTTGGTCACCAAGAATATAGACATGGGGTTTGTATTGGCTACATGTTTTGAAAATAGCAAGCAGGTGTAAAAATCCAACTTACTCAAGGGTAGGTCTTGTTTGGGACCATCCATAGAGACTGTGGACATCATAGTGTCTCACCGGGGTGCCATCGGCAAGATACTGCTGCCCTTCCATGCATGGAGTTTTGACAATTAATCCATCTGAGCGATATCCTAAATCTATTGGAAAGAGAATGAACACACTTGTATTTTAATGAATAACATTCAATAATAATTTCAATGTGTTGCTTTTTGCTAGTTTTCATAATCTGTTTTGTCATTCACTTTTTTTATGCATGTATACAGCCATTTACATATTATTATTAAAATATTATGCCAAGCTTTCTGCAATGGATTTTTCCTAATATTCCCGAGTAGATACCTGGGTCTGCAAGCACATTAATGAAGTCAGTTATAGATGTTCTTACTGACAAGTCTTAAATAGTAAACCAGGTATGTCCTAATTCAGAAAACTTTGCAGAGCTTTATAAACAATGTCATATTGTCCATAGAAACAGAAAACTAAGAAAATGTGTTTGTGATGTCTGAAAAGGGCTTTAGTTTTAGTTAGGAATCCCGTTATTTTTTTCTATACCTAACTTTAGGCTCTTCTACCCATACACCATGAAAGATATGCTAGACTAACCAGAATGCCCAAAGACCTTCTTAGGTAGTGGCCAGACTTACGAGGCATATATGGTGGGTAATTTAGGACATCATCTCTACACCCACCGATGGCACCATCCATGAAGGCTGCAGGTTCGTTCATGTCCTAAAAACACAAGGCAAAACCGCATTTGTTTCAATCATGAAGAAATAAGTTAAAAAGCTCTCAAATACTCAGAGCCACGCATAGCCCTCGGCTGTCTCTGCTAGTGTCTGGCAGAGCAGCAGTTGGAATCAGGCTTTTCTCCATCGATTTTGCTCCCAGTGAGTGGATACACAAGGGGAGCAGGGCAAACCCAACAGGAGCTGGCAGCTCTGGCACTGAGCTCATGTTGCAGCAGTACAGCATAAGGCTGGGATTTTTCCTTTTTGAAGGAGCCCTCCGGTGCTGGATGAACAAATTCTACAGAAATCTGGGCAATTAGCTCCTTTCAGCTATTTCAGATTGTGCCCTAAATATTTAATTTTCTCTTTCAGGATGTTGACCAGGTAAATTAACTGGAGAACTCAGAAATGCAGTAGTAGCCCTGAAAATCATTCTCGATCAGTGTAAAGCTACTGTTTAATGAGTAATTTTTCTGATAAGAAACCCCCTGAACAGGCAGATTCTGACTATCTCATTTCCTAGAGAGCAGAGTACCTTATCCCATGAGATTATTTGAAGGTACTGGGATTCAATTTTACAAACTCTGTCTTTGTCAGTCACATTCACTGAAAAGGACAGCTTTTCCTATGTGTAAAATTTAAATCAATACAGAAAATTGAGCTAAATATAGATGTGAAAAGTGCTGAAGTCTCTAAACTTTGTGATTATTACTTGTGCCCTCAGTACATGTGGTCCTCTGGTTGCAATAGGAAACCAGAGTTCACAGTATAGAAAAATATTAAACATTTTGATGGTTGTCTTGATGTTTCTGGGGCTTATATAGCAAACCATTAATATTTAGGAGCTTCTGCAAGTTCATTTTATTTATCTAATAAGCTAAACTTCCTATCTAGCTGCTTCTGTCTTGTGGAAGTAGTATTGTAAAAATAGTTGTCTCATGCTGTGCAAAAATCATGCACTTCAGGAGCTAACAGAAGAGTGACATTGCAAAGCAAGTGTTAGGAAGGTCAAAAGTAAATAAGTTTTCATAGACACAGAAAGTGAAATATTCAATACAGAGAAAAATGACACTATTAAAAATTATTTTACTCTGGTAGATCATTCATACTATATTAATCTGTGTGCTTACTGCCTTAGAGGCACAAGAATTGAAAAATTATATTTATTGGCTTTCAAGATGTTTAGAAAAAAATCTTATGATGAAAAGGCAAAAACCTCTCAGAAAGAGAACACATTTTTACACTTACGATCCACAGGCCGTCAAACTTGAGGCTCATGGAGGCATTGGTGGGGTTGTTGTAGCACTCTGCGATTTCCTGCTTCCACCATTCCGCTGTGGAATTGCGGAAGAAATCTGGGAAAGCAGCGTGGGCTCCGTAGAGCTGTACAAGAGGTAGGAAAGTAGAACACAGGGTGTTGAAAGCATGCCAGTGTTAAAATGCTGGAATTTGTAAAATAAAATATTCTACTATTTCCTTAATTAATGTACTTCTCCCCGTATAGCTATGCCACTAACCAAACTGTAGCAATGTTTACCTGTATTTGGGTTTGCTCAGGCAGTGTCTCATTTACTTCTACGTTGGGAAGAAATGGCCAAACCTAAAGGGACAAAAGGAATTGTAATAAACTAACTGGATTCAATAGAATATGGGCACTACCTGTCAACAGGTAAAAACATGCATCATTGCTACATACACCAAAGTCACCACAAACTGAAGACAATTCAGTTTGCAACATTAATTTAATAACTACATTCAGTAATTAAAATAATATTAGAAGTCTCTCCTCCTGTAGATAGCAATGAAGTCTAGCTTGGCATCTTGTTTGCTTGTGTACTAAATACCTCTGCTGTTATCAACATTTTAAGAGCAGTACCTTTGAGAATATAATGTCATCGGTATCGGGCCATTTTATGAAGACATCCTTCTCCACACCTCTTGTGAAGGTGAGGTAATTTGATTCATTTCCAGAGATAGTTGGATCCTAAAATTAAGGGGAACACATTTTTACACTTATGCTTGGGGGGAAAAAAAAAAAAAAAAAAACTATTAAATATATTCTACTTTCAGCAATGATATGTTCTAATTCAAAACTGACCAGGATAGGGATGAATCTCATTCCTTCTTGTTTTATTTTGTTAACTAGATCTGGCAATCCAGCAAATTTTTCACTAATGGTGAAGTCCATTTGCCGCTCCATATAATCAATATCCGCGTATTGAACATCCTGCAATTAAAATAAAAAAATGAATGTTCAGGGCCCACTCCCTGCTTTTTTTTCCCCCTAAATATATCCTTATAGAGCATATGCAAATATGATAAAAATAAAGCTAGCTACTACATTTTTTGAAATGCGGAATTGGAATCAGACAAAGGTTTAAGCTTAATTTATTATATCCTCACCCAACCTATCAGCAAGTGCACATGCTAGAGGAAAAAAAAATAGTAGCAGTCTTGGAGTTGTATGCATATGTATGCACATAAGGAAAAAAAAAAGTATGCAGTTTGTGCCTTTTTTTTTTTTTTTTTGTACTGTTCTTTGTTAATCCTCTGGAGCAGGGGCTGAGGCATGAGTGCAAGCTGGGTGCTACCCACGTACATAGGGAATGCCAGCTGCCTTCATTGCAGCCACCAGCTCGGCGATTTCCGAGTCGTTGCTGTATCCGTAGCGGCACAGTTGGAATCCCAAGGACCAGTAGGGTGGCATGACCGGCCGGCCGATGAGCTGGAAATAAGAAGGGATATTTGCAGCAAATGGAAAATGAAATTTAAAGTAACAATTTAAAAAAACTACAACAGTTTCAGATGGTAATGGAACAAGAAGCCTACTGCAGTGTATTCCTGAACCACGAGCTCTGGCGTTGGGCCCAAAACCATGTAGAAATCCAGGATGCCCCCGATCGTGCGGTAGGTCAGAGCTGGAGTGGGCTGGAATGTCACATCTGCAAAGCGGGAAAGCGAGGAAATGAGCACCCAGATACGCTGCTCCTGCCCCAAACTGATCGTAAAATGAAAAGTCATTGAGAAAATGAAAGGGGTTTTACCCATGGCATTGCTGTTCAGCAGTTAAGCAAGAGAACTCCATGGGCATTGCCATCTTCTTCCAGGGCCATGTAGAATGGTTGATAGCCGTATGAATTCAACTTGTACTGCAAAAGAAATACATCGTGAGCATCCCGTAAGTTAAAAAATGATCAGAGGCAACTGCCGAACGCAAGCAAAAACTTCAACGGCATCCTGCGGGTAAATGCTAACAGTCCCAGCAGAGAAGGCAGAGAAACATAAAAAAGCAGCAACTACATGTGGCAGAGAAACATAAAAAGCAGCAACTACATGTTTTTTTCCTGAGCCATTTGTTGTCATATGGCTCAAGCCCTGAGCTCCACACTGGGCTTGAGGGTCACAAATTAAAAATAAGCTTAGAGGAGACCATTGCTGTTGAGAAGAATCGAACGATTTGGATAAACTGTAATCCTCAATAAATATGACCAACGCCAATAAACGTGCCCAGTGCCAGCTGACTTTAAAGTCCTGCTGGACACCTTCATTGGCTAGGTTCATTGATCACTAGTATTGGGTGCTGTATTCCTAACAGAGGACAGAAATCCACAACAGTCATGTGAGATTTTCATAGTACAGAAACATAAGTGGTATCAAGGTCTGAGCTATGGACAGGCAAATTTTACCCTGGATGACGGACCACAATACTGGTCAACACAGGTTGATAGGAAGCAAAAAGAAGCCCAATGGAGAAAAAATATCCAGATACAGCTTCACTTACAGTGGGAGCCTGGTCTCTTGTGAATAAACCCCAGGTGTTCCAGCTCATGTTACGCCGAAACATGGTATGTTCGGTCTCGCCGAAGCCGTATATGTATTGCGATGCCAAGCGGGTAGAAATCTGAATGAACATGTCACTGAACGTGAAGGTGGGGAGTTGAGAGTCCCAGCTAAATGCAAATGGAAAGAGGGAAATGAAAATAGCAATATACTGGTTTCCATTACCGTGTTTATCTGCTGGTAACCTGCTTGAGGCAACTATTTCTCTCTCAGTTCTTCCCCTGGGTCAATATTGTCGTACATGTGTAATGGCCAAGCAAACCCCGTCAGGATGCAAAAAACATGTTTTATGGCATTTAAACAAAACTTAGAAGCAAATGGTTTGACCTAAAGATAGCTAACGGAAATCAATGGAACGGGGCTTACATGACTGTGCCTGTGCTTTTGCGCCGAACCTGTATCCCAAAGGGTTTCCTTTGGATGGACACGTCGTAGAGCCGACCCTCAACAGTGCTCGAGGGGGTGCTGGGCACGTTTAGTGGCACTGGAACCTCGTATCTTTTGTTTTGGTAATCGTAGATCTATGCGTGAAAAAAATAATTCATTTCAGCAGGCATCTACAAGAACACAGCTGGTAGCACACATCGACAGCGACATTTTCAAGACTACAAGATGCTAATAGTTCAAGCACCATTTCTCACATTTGTTTTAGACTGATAGAAACACTCCTGTGGACTGACAGGCTCCCAGTCTGAAAGAGAATTGCTGGAAATCTTACCAATAGTGATGGAAATATGATTTAGTTAAAATGAATACAGAAAATCATTAAATTCATTTCCTGATGAGCGTTTTCTTTCAATATGCAGTTGTTCTCAAATTCCTTCAAAATATTTGGATTGTATAGAAGAGAAAACCTCATGGGTTTATTCTGGCTCAGGAATGTCTTGTTTGATTTTCTAAATTTAATATTTTATATATATATATTTGTGTGTATATGTATGTATACAAACACACACAGGTATGGTGTGTATTTGGTTTTTTAATTCATCTTTAGAAACAATCTCTGAAAGTTAGCTAAAGGTTTTCTATATTCTGCTGACAAGGTAATTCAAGACTTGATGCCTGATCATGTTAATGATCTATCCAAATCATAATATTTTAAATATATAGTAATATAAACAATAACTTATTAAAAATTTTATTACATATGTAGAATGATTAACACAAAAGTAACATTATAGTCATAATAACACTTACTGATAACTGCATCTGTATACTATTAAAATGCTTTTCGTTCCAGAGTTTGATTGATGTTACATGTGTGCATTGACCTTTGTTTCATGTAATTACATTGTAAACTCTAGGACAAAATTCTAGGAAGAGAAAGATAGGGCCTAAGAGCAACAACAACTATTTGGTTAGAAGAAGAAACCAGGCAAGAGAGCTACTATTCATATAGTACATATTCATATAGAAACTCTGCATTATTTCCATAAATAAAGCTATTTTGATGATTATGGTGATATAAGCTCCTAGAATTCCAGTGTGAGCCTACCTTAAATTGCAGCAGGTTGTTGTCGTGGTATTTCACCTCCAAGCGCAGCGTGCTGATAGGTTGCGTTGCGTTCTCATACGCTTTGGTGTTGACGTTGTCGAGGGTGAGGTTGGCTACCAGGCCATCCGCAGAGTATTCAACTTGATCAACGGAGTAAGGGTTGTCAGTGCTGTAGTAGCAGGGCGGAATATCCACGTCCGAGATTACTTCCTGCAAAGGGACATCAGATGCAGCTTTGCGTTGCCTTCAATCATCAGCAAGAATTCCAGAGTTTCCAGTTTAAATTTTACAGCTGTTTAGGGTTACCTTTTGTGGAAATATCTTGATGCTATTTGTGAACAATAAAGAAACAATACCAAACCCACAAACATCTCTGGCCTTTTGGATGCCTTCCTGAGGATGTGCCCAAAGCTCATTAGATATTCAGATGAGAGATTTCATCAGCTTTTATATGTCTCTATTCATATGAATGTGAATATACCCATTTAAAAATGGGTTTAAAATATCCATTGAGACTTACATCCTATTTATCTAAGATCTCCTGTCAGCAAGATCAAAATTACTTTCAGCTTCCTGCTCTAATCGAACATAAACACTCCAAACGGTTATTCTGAGGTTAGATGAGCTGATGTAGGTTAATGTATTTGCCTTCCACCTCTGGATACTCACCATCAATCCTGTCTAGTTGTTCAAATGAAACTATGCCTGCTAATCACACTTAATTCCTAATGAATATTTATTTGTCTGTTATCACCAAATTCAAAGCACCTTTTGACTCGAGCAAGTGTTTGAAATACATCCAGGCCACAACTTGACCAGGATTTGATTTCATATGAAGAACTATTTCCAAATATCCAAAATTACAAAAATATTTCTAATAATACAAGAAATTTAGGAAAGTCTAGCTTCCGTCCCAGCTATTGTTGTTTCAGGGGTGACTAGTAGAGGATTTTGGGCTTCTTATCCAGATTGCAGCTTTGAAGTATAGATTTCTATAATCAAGAAGTAATGCAATCTGGAGGGAGGGGCCCTCTAAAGGTCATGCCTTCCATGGCTCTTTTCAACATCTATTTTTAGCCCCATAATATCCAGAAATAAAAATATGACATAAAAAACTTCATGCCAGATCTCTTGATCTGGATATAGCTGATAGACAGAGATGCAAACAATTAAGTTCATATATGGGTGAAAATGTCCCTGGGGTTCAAGGATTTCTTCTCCAACTGAGAAGTCATCTTTAATAAAGATGCGTTTCAGGGAACGTGAATATAAGAGAAAGTGGCAAAGCCTTGCAGAAGTCCAGTGAAGCAGAAGGGTTGCTTGAAGACAGGGATCTCAAGTCCATTCTACTTTTTATAACTCTAATATCTGCTACCACCTTTCAAAATATTATTCATTTCCCCTCTAATTTTAATGCACTTGAGAAGAACTTAAGCTGTTGCAAACTGCACTGTTTTCAAGGAAATAAATAAAATCTGCTAATACGGGCCAGCTGATGACCATCCCCTTTTCTTTAAAAGAATCTGGCAGATGGACAAATCTGCCAGACTGCCTTTTTTCCACTGTAACTAATCCCAGAAAAAGTTCTGATTCTCCTCCTATCTCCTTGGCTCAGAGACATCGCTTTGCCTTACGTTCCAGACACAGCCGAGCTCCTCACACTTCTCCTGGGTGGCATTAATGCCGGGGTAGCAGTCGTATCTTTCATTGATACTGGATACTTGATTCCACTGTACCCTGTAGGATGTTCCCAGCTGGAGCTGGAGTCCTGTTATATGGGCGACCTATAAATATTAGACAATACACCGTTATTCAATCCAACTTCGGTCTTTCTTCAGCCCGGACACGCAGATTCTCAGGAGCAATAACATTTTCTGAACGTGGCAACTCGCAAAAAAATGTCCTGGGACATTTCATGGATTCTAATTTTTAAGCTTTTTAACAATTAATGCCCTGAAATTCTTACACATAAGATCTGAAAAATTAAGAAACTAAAAAATGAAGCAAATACTGTGATTCCCTTGCAAGGACTGAGGATAAGCACACACCTCCTTAGCCTTTTTAATCATAAATGTAAATGTAACTTTGGTGCTGATTCAGTAACTGAGATAACAGGTAACTTGGGTATTTCATTAAAGCTCCTAGCTTTATAATGCAAGTTCCTAGCACTGTCCTCAGGGCAGTTTATGAAAATTCCCCACCTACAGCAATGCTTTTGCCTGCTTAGCACATCCAGCCACAAGATTGGTGCTGCCCTATATTCATCCTGAGAAATGCAGTATAAGCCAAAAAATGAGGTTCAAAAACCCACGCTCTATTTTGTTTTCCAATCAATGCCTGAAGTATCATCTGAAATGTAAATATTAATTACCCTGCTTAGATATCAAATGAAATCTTAAAGCTGTTCCTTCCCTTGGAAGCCAAGCACAGCTACATGGGTAAGCATGCAAGCAAATCCCGTGCTGCACCGAGCATCTAGGAGCAAAACTAAGCTGCAGTCTATGGAGCTGAAGTCTGTATGGATGAGGGGAATGCAGTTATATGGAGCTGGATGCTCTGAGATCAATGATAAGACTGAATAATCTCCTTTGCAATATATAAAATAAAGGTGATGTAACTCCAAAGCCATTCTGCTTCAGGCTTCCTCTTTGCAAGTACCTTGGCTGAACGATCATAGGTGATATTGGGAGAAGAACTTTGCACAACATTGTCCAGAGTTACGGTGACTTCTGTTGGTTCCAGGGGCAACCCCAAGATCTTGATTTCTTCAAACATCAGGTTGTTTGGATCAGTGTAGCTGTTGTTTATGACATTCATTTGTAAGGTATTCTGAAAAATATAATGCAGTTATCCCATTATATCGTCAGAATTTTTTTTAAAAAGGCTAATTATTTCTTAATGGTCTACTATAGGCTAAGCCAATACCCTTTCTTTGCCATGTTAATTATTGCCCGGTTTGTTGCTTGCCCTGCTGCCACTTAAGCGCTTGCTTCCTTATTTATAATATGCTTCAGACTTGCGTTTAAGGTTCCTTCTTCTACTTGTTACGTATTTAGAGTATCACCATGTATATGCTTTAAGAAAATAAAAATCATTACATTCCCACTTCTCTTCTCTTGCTTTCCATCTGCCCGTGCTTCCTGTTTCAATGTTTGCTCTGGTATTTCAGAGCAAGGGAAAAGAATACTTTTTGCAGATATTACTATTATACCAAGAATACTGTAATCCTTATAATATAAAATCTCCAGGTAATATGGAATAGACTGCCCTTTATAGGCAAGTTCAGTTAATAAAAAGTGTTTTAACAGTCACTGATGCTCTACAATTCTCTTGCTCAGTAAACACTGCTGTTGAGTTTATTGTGAGAGAAAATAGGTGCTCTTTTGTTAATAATTAGGAGAAGAGCCAAATGAAAGATAGACATCACAGTTAAATAACAATATTGCTGAATGACAGTATTTTGAAAGAGATACTGCTTTGGCTTTGCCAAATAATTTGATTCTCAGCAAATGTTACAGGAGATCAGGACAGAGAAGATATTAGACTGGAAATAAAAATAATATCATTTAAAAAGTACTTACATCAGAAACGATAAACTCGTAGTAAATGTAGAGACCGCTTTCAACAGTACCTAAAATGCAAAGACAGAAATGACATTGGCTGTACAGAACTCAATGGCATTAAAAGCAAGACTGGCAGGACTGTGTCCCTATCAAGGCCAATAGATTGCTAATTATTATCGTTATTACACTCAGAAGCTGCAATCAAGATGACTCTGAGCAATCCTGCAGGTGCTGTGCAAAAAGCAAAAAGTATAAAACTAATAATTTTTTAATGAGTGAAAAAATGACTTTCTATAATTATTTATTCCAATATTTTACTAACACACTCCTACCTCTGGGATCAGAGCATCCATTACATTGCAATGACTTTGCTAGTCCCTAAGGCCCCCCACAAAAGTCAGTGATTGGATTTCCTACTTGTAATATTTTTCTTTTTTTGCTATTAATCACACCCTTAGAAAACTATTCCTTGCTACCTTTGATAGGCTTTCCCAGTTCTTTCTCTTTTTTCCTGCTGTTTTCTTTTAATCAATTATCTCATACAGAGGACTCTTCTTTAAACTTCTCTTACACTTATTTTTGCCTTAGATCTCTTTCCTCAGATATTTCCCAATATTTTCCAAATTTACTGAAATTCCTCTTAGCAAAATATATTAATTTTCATTTTATTGTTATTCCATTACATCATTTCTTAAATATAAATTCATATGCAGGGAAGTTAATCTTTTAAAGCATATTAAGGAAGTTTCCTACTGCAAAAAAAAAAAAGAGTAAAATATTAATAAACTGTGTCATGGAACTATAAAAGAGGAAATAAACTCACCACCTGGAAAAAGAAACATAAAAGTTGACTCATAAACAGCCTGCTATTTTTTTTCCACGTAAGAAAAGAAAAATATTGCCATTGCGAGCAAATTGTAAACTATTTCTTTGAGAAAACTACGACCTGTAAGTTTTGAGCAGGAAATAAAATCATAAGATGTTTTATTGTTTTGTTTCTCTACAGAAGTGAGTACAATAATGGCTTAGTTATTGTAGGCCTTGACAAAGGAGTACATATACCTGTCATATCAGCAACCACCCAAGGCCTTCAATATTTACTGCCGCAATAATCAGCCAAATCACAACTCTATTTCTTTAAAGCATCCCAAAGTTTCACAAAATTTAAAAAGTAGAGGCTTGGAAGTTCTTGCCTGAGATATGATTGGTAGAGGTAAAATGAGAAAAGGGATTACTACAGGCAGAACGCATAAATTTTTCTAAGCTTTTCCTTTCCATTAAATGTAATATTCTCATCACATTACCTCTCGAGCACAAATCGTCTCATCTCTTGGCATTTTGTGTAATTGTCTTGCTAACAGATTGCCCGGTGCCCAGCACCAGGGTCTTGCTGTGCAGAAACCCTTCAAATTTGAACAGACATAAATATCCTAGCAAGAAATATCTCCCTGGGAGTTTGGCATCCTGGGGAGACCTGCAAGGGAAGCTGAGGACTTGGCAGAGGAGCCAAAGTAGCGACACATCTAGATGTTCATCAGCTGGCACATAGCAGGGCCATGGCAAGGTTTCATAGGCAATTAGCATCTTAATTTGCTCAAGATTCTCTATCTTAAAAATGCATTTTCAGCCAAAAGCAGTTGTGTTTCGGGAGACAGAGGTATGAACGTCCTAAATCGAGGTATCACTTAACCATGGAGAGGGATCAAATTAGCTCACATGAACCTCAGTGTTAATATTTGACTCTCTTTTTTTCTTTTCTTTTTACTGCTATAGTTTTTCCAGTTTTCTAACCTACATTTTATTCCATTATAACCAAATAAACCTCAGGTACTTTTCTGATTCATTGCTACCTATGGATATGATAGGATATGAATTAGAGAAGATTCTGTCTATTTGAAATGCACCAGTATTAACAGGCATATGCCATAAACCAAAGTCCTTATCTCTTAAAGTTATGGTTGGTTGCAAATAAAACAATAAAATCTGTCAAATACAAGTTCTTAAATCATTTTTTAATACAAGCTTGAGTGTTTTATAAAAGTTCTTCAAAAATCATTTCAAAAAAAACGTTTAAACTGCGAGTTGGCTTTTCTAAAAAATAAAGAACAAAGAACAAAGGCTCCCAAAGCAGCCTAAAGGATTTAAGTACCTCAAATCCTTTTAATTTAATGGAACCTGGATGCCTAACTAATTCCTCAGATACTTCAGAAAATCCCACAGTTCAAGGTTCTTTGTTTTCTAAAGTTTCCTTCATCTCAAGATTAAAAGGATGAATTACACTATTTTTATTTGCAAGTTGCTTCTACTGCTCTAGAACTGCTCTTAGACATGCACGTCTTCTAAAGACGTTAATTTTTCTCACAACCAAAAGGCATTTGACCTTAAATCACCAAATTAAGAACTGTTACATTTTTTCACTTAAATGTGATCAAATAGCGATGACATATGAACAAGTATTAGCAACTTGTTCGGAATTAAAAAATCAACATTCCCAATGGCTTAATCTTCCTCCATTAAGTCCCCTTGAAGATTACAATCTGTCAGTATGAACAGTTTGTTTGTCATAGCAATCCCCCTATGGATGAACGCTCACCTGCGGATTCTCCATCATCCCAGAAAAAGTCTCCGGTCGCGTTGTTATTGTCATCCAGGGCAATGAGAAGTCCCAGCGGATTCTGGCGGCTGTGAGAAGACATTTTGTCCTTGGTGTGTAAAATAACTAGACAGCCTTCATATATC